ATTGCACCAAGTCCCAAAAGTCAATATTTCCCAAGATATAAAGGGTCAAAGTAGTGAAATATGGTCATCCGCACTGAGAGAAAAATGTATGATATTTGGAACTATAACGGCATAGTAAAAAGATTACAGTTAGAAAGGTAATTTTTATAGTAAATGTTACCATAATATTTACAATATGAGCATAGTTTAACTGACCCGTGCAAAATTTTTACCAAGAATTATATATATATATATATATATATATATATATATATATATATATAATTCTTGGTAAAAATTTTGCACGGGTCAGTTAAACTATGCTCATATTGTAAATATTATGGTAACATTTACTATAAAAATTACCTTTCTAACTGTAATCTTTTTACTATGCCGTTATAGTTCCAAATATCATACATTTTTCTCTCAGTGCGGATGACCATATTTCACTACTTTGACCCTTTATATCTTGGGAAATATTGACTTTTGGGACTTGGTGCAATGATAACTTTTTATCAGCATGGCGAAAACTATAACATAGTGAAATTTCAGCCAATTTGACCGAAAACCATTTTCCATAGGTTTTGTGCGGGGTCTTTTCTCCGGTGTATATATAAAGCGACGAAACTCGAACCGAGAGAAAAAGAGAGAGAGAGAGAGTCTCGAGATAGAAACAGCCTCTCTCTCTCTCTCCCTCTCTTTACCCCTTCCCACCACGTTGGTGTACGAATATGACAATTCTATCGAAATGAGAGAATATTGGGCTCTCCCCGTAGTATGAAGTTTCAGGCATTGCAATCTGCATTGTTTCCACGTCAATTAAACTTGTTTGATATTTCCGCTGCAATCACACGGCAACATCGATTCCGTGCGCGCCCGCGCGCTTAATCGAATTCGAGAAACAGTGCTCTTTGCGATTCCCTACTAATAAACGTTGTTATCGATGGGGTCGACGTATCGAATCCCTGTTGCCTCTTACATTCGTGAGTCGACCATGTTTCTCTCTCTCTCCCCCCCCCCCTTCTCT